TCCACCAAACAGGTTTGTTAAACTGAGGATTTACTGTACTCACAACCATCCAGGCTGTTAGGAAAGAGAACTAGAATAATTTTACATGAGCGTTTTTTGGACTTTAAAATAATATGACCTCTCTCATACTTCTTAACTTCCAATGATGCAAGTATGAAAGATGATGTCATGATTATTTAAATATGTCCCTAGAATTCCAAAGCATTTCATTGTTCCATTCAGTTTACAATCCATGCAGGAAGCAGGTACAGACCTTGGCTCTCCCCCCCCTCCCAATTTTGTGAGTGTACCTTGTTTCTAGAGTACAGATTCCTACTAAATGACACTATCTCTTACCTGAGACTGAAGTAGCCTGCCTAAAATTATTTCTTGGTGTTAATTTTCAGAACGGGTTTATTTGTTCACTCTTCCCTCATGAATACCCCTATATTCTTTTTGTCAGAAATGTGGTTCTTCATGATTACCAACTTCTAAACATTGCAACCATCAGGTTACTACTTGTTTCCAGCCTTTTAGAACTATTACAAAAAGATGCACAATTTAAACCTGTTTAGAGCTCAGGAGAACCTACGGCCAGATTCACATGAAGGAGGGACATAAATTTTTAATTATGGAAAGTGCAAATATACTTGTCTTTGGCCTTCTTTCAAGTCCCTCAGTGTTTATGTGATTTATGAATTCTATATTCCATGACATGTTGGAGAAAGATGTAATGGTATATTTGGATGACTTGCTAATTTATCCTGAAGATCTGGTTACTTGCACTGAGGAGGTTCAGACTGCTATCTTTTTTTCATTAACACAGTTCATATGCTTATCTGAAGAAATCTAAGCTGTTTAGATGTTTTAGATTATTTGAGCTACCATGTTTTTATTGAGGCCATCCAGATAAATCCTGGCAAAATGGATTCCGTTCTGTTCTGGCAACACCCCAGATCCTCTAGGATGTAGTGTTTTCTGTCATTTGCCAACTTCTGTCATCACTTTATCACTGATTTTGGAGAGCACAAGAGGCATTTAACTCAGTTTTACTCTTTCAAGTGGTAATCCAAATTTCAACAGGCTTTTCTTTCAAACAAAATTTGCTTCGTAGCCCATTCAGATCCCATATAGATTGTTGTTATTCAAACAGCTGCAACAGATCCCATACAGATTGTTATTATTCAAACAGCTGCATATTGGCAGCCTCTGGTGTAGAAGAACATTTGCTTTCTTGTGGCTTTTACTCCAGACAACTTCTAGCTAAAAGGAACTATGATGTTTTTAATAAGGAGGTAGTAGCAATGAAAGATAACTTTCATTATTTGCACCATCTCATTGAATTCCATACTGACCACAAGAATCTAGAACAGATTTCTCACAAGCTCACATAGTGCCATATCAGATGGACACAGGGCAGGCTGAAGCTCTATTACACAAGCCTGAATACTGTTTTTCCTACAATTCCCTCTCCAATCTCTATCCTTTAAGGAGTCTTTTTTTCCTGACTGAGCAAATTCACATTAAGATATGTCATTATTCCTCACTATATTGTGTTGGCCAGACTGCACCTAAAATGTTACATCACCACATTTGTCACCAAAGCATGCTCAGTCACATCATCTCAGAGGCTCCCAATTCATTTTCCATTTTTAGAAGGTTCTTTTTCTGTTCTTAAACGTTAATCTCAACATTTCGTTTTCTCATTGCCTACAGTCTGATGGGAAAGCAGAGAAAATAAGTGTCATCCTGTAATACCTTTGTTGTTATGTAAACTACCTGCAAATGAACTGATTGACATTGCCAGGAAATGAGTCTAGCTCTCCATCAGATTCCTTCACTCTATAAAACTATGTAAGAAATTGGATGCCAAGCTTATTATTCCCTGTACTTACACAGATTGACCTGGTCACCTTTCACTTGCAACTTTCAGCTACAGTGAAAGTTTTTTCTGTTTTTTCACCAGTCCACACTAGTCTTAGAATATCTTCCCCTTGCTCCTTGTGCACTGTTACCTTACTGCCTCAGTGGGGTGAGAATAAGAATTCAAAATGGAATGTATTTTGGATTCCTGGCATGGTTAAGACAGGTTAGAATATTTGAATCATATATTCCAGGTATATCAGTACCCTTTGCAATAACTGCAGAAACTCAAGCCACCTGACCTTGCATTCTGGCTTTGGCACCTATTATTTCTTTGGACTCAACCCCCCACCTCCCACCACATAACCTGCTTTCAAAAGGAGATAGACATTTCATCTATCCTTGAGAAAGAGAGTTCTGGACTGGGGAGAGTTACTGATATAACTGTGTTGTATATTCCAATCCTCATTTTCTCTCCCTCCTCCCTGAACTGGAGAAGGAAGAGGGAGGGACTTCAGCAGCTCCAGCCAAAAGGCAACTGACAGTGCAGGGAGGTTCAAAGGCCTTTCCAGTTCCTAATGCCTGGGAGGAAAAGCTCACTTCTCCATGGAGAAATGAGAAAATTGGGAGATGTATTAGATTTAGATCAGCCAAGTTTAGAAGGAAAGTTCCTGAGCAGACTTATCTGCTAACAATGAATCAACTTATCCACTAACAGTGCACAGGTTTGAGACACTCCTGCTGTTGCAAAACAAAGGGCCCTCATTAGAACACACAGGTGGTAAAATGAGGCATATGGTTTGAACCTTGGGTCTGCTAAAACAATGGCTTTAGTTTTACAGTTCGAAGTTGCCTGTTGTTTCACACTGATTGCTTTTTTGATATCCATAGTAAACCTATTTTATCAAAAGCTGTGTCCTTGAATCCCTGCCTGTGGACTTTCTAGTTCAAGTTTTGATCTGGGAGAATCCATACAGCAATCTCATTAGACAGCAAGCTTTTGGTACCCTTAAAAGGAAGGAAATGTTTAATTTATTAATTTATTATTGTTGTCTTTTTACTACCAGAGAAAGGATTAGCATTTGGTACTCTGAATCTGTTTGGCTTTTGGTATACTGTACTAAGACTCGGGGAGGAGGGATGTGAGTAAAATGTCTTGGATATTGTGACTGAATGAAGAACATTAATGCTGGGAGGGGGATCCTTTATTTTTTGTTACTGCATTATTTGGGCGATAAGAAATATGTATGTGTGTGTATAAACACACACACCCCTACTTTCTTTCTTTCTTTATTGTGGTGGTGCATCTTCCTTTACATTTTAAACTTTCCACCTACTGTGATGGAAGGAGGTGGATTGCTACTGTGGTAACAGAAGGTGGTGTATAGCTTGAAAGGCTGAGATCTCATGCTGGAGTAAACCTATACATCTGAAACATATTTAGAGCAGCAGAGTCAGCCTTGTTCTGTCACTTTCTCCAGAAGAAAAGTCACACGTTTTGTTTTTGAGGTGGGACGTTTTGTACTTTGGGAGTGAATAATTAATGTCTGTGGTAGTGATTCAGTGCTATGTGAGTTTCTGTTAGAACACATTTGTTATTAAGCTTGCTTAGTGATAAACAGGTGAGAAGAATGGCAGTGGGAAGTCAAGGAAAAGAAAGTCACACAGCCCAACCATTATTGGTTGGTGCAAAATGGTGCTGTGCTGCTGAATTGCAAGTCTGAAAAGGAAGCTGTGCCAGTTCAATATTAGTCCCTTTTTCATTAAGACAAAATGCACCTGCCATGTGCATAAAACTGGTGCAACAAACTAGATAATGTGAAAGTCTTGCAAAGACCTAGTAATCAAAAGAAGTAATGGACTGAAATAACATGGAAATGATGGCCTTGTCTATATTATTGCCATCAAAAGAAACAATTCTGTTGCTAATGGAAAACTATCTGGATTTGTTCCTGGTATTTTATGTTACATTTACAGTAATATTTTATTATTGATGAACAACTTCAAAGTCATTTCAGGCCTTGACTTCTTTTCCTTACCGGAGAATCCAAAGCTTTATATCCAAAGTATCTTTAAATCCCCCTTTAATTATTATTCTTGATTTGGGATTAGAATTCATACAGCTTTTTGTTTTGTGGTGTATAAATATCTAAAATAACAGAACCCAATTCAAACGTGGAAAGATCCATTTGTTTATCTTGTTTATCTAAGGGGAAAATATTTAAAAAACAGCAACTGGTGATGAAAAGAAATATTAGCTATGAGCATTGTTCAGATTTTACTAAATCCAATAGAAAAGCATCATATTTTCAAAAGATGGGCTAGATTTGCTTTCAAGGAAGCACTTTCACAATTCTGAATCTGAGAAGCCTCAGTTCATTCTAAACTTTCACGTATCGTCATCAGTTAAAAAAAGTGCTTCAGAGGGGAAAAAAAAAAAAGAGAAACCTAAGTATATGATGTTGGAGACCACAAGTTGTGAAGTAGTGTTCATTTTATTCTTTATATTGCAATATATTAAAGTTTATATAAAATGTTACTTCATAATTCACTTATTACT